TTTTTTTTGTAATTGAATATCTGCTTATCTATGCTTAAACGATAATGAAAATGCAATGTGTCATACTAAGTGCAATTTTATATTAACCTCTTATTCAGGACGCTTGCAATCGCAAGAGCAACCAGCAGAACTTGGGTACTATCAAATGTTCCAACTTATGCACCGAGATTGTGGAATATTCTAGCAAAGATGAAGTAAGATGATTTAATCATTCCTTTTTGTCGGTATTGCCTAACATCCAAGTTTCAGGTTGCTGTTTGCAACCTTGGCTCCATTGCACTGAATCGTTTCGTCACTCCAGAAAAGAAGTTCGACTTTGAGAAGCTTCATGAAGTCGCTAAGGTCGGAATAAAGATTTTATTTAAATCGTAGACTTAATCTTAAGGGAGCATATTCTTCAGGTGCTGACTCGTAACCTCAACAAAATCATTGAAGTTAACTACTACCCAGTTGAGGAGGCACGTCGCTCAAACTTCCGTCATCGCCCTATTGGTCTTGGAGTACAGGTACTTTTTGCCTGTGTACTATTGGCTTGCACGTTGTTAGAACTTAAATTCAAGGGCCTCGCTGACGCATTCATGCTTATGCGATATCCATTCACTTCACCCGAGGCTCGTGACCTGAATAGGCGTATCTTCGAGGTAATCTATCATGCCGCTTTGGAGGCTTCCTGCGAGTTGGCCGAAAAACTTGGTGAGTGCAGGGCTCTCTTAGTTTCATGCTTTATTTGATAAAGAAGGGCAGGATTTTTAGCTATTAATTTAGGACCATACGAAACCTATGAGGGTAGCCCAGTGTCCAAGGGTATTCTGCAATTCGATATGTGGGGTGTTACGCCCACTGATCAATGCGAGTGGGATACACTTCGAGAGAAGATCAAGAAGTATGTTTACTGATGGATTTATGATGGTTTTTCTACTAAGATGTCTTTAGACATGGAGTCCGCAACAGCCTTCTCGTGGCACCGATGCCAACAGCTTCTACGGCCCAAATCCTTGGCAACAATGAATCCATTGAGCCCTACACTTTCAACATCTACAGCCGAAGGGTACTTTCTGGCGACTTCCAAATTGTTAACCCTCACTTGCTGAAAGACTTGGTCGAGTTGAACTTGTGGGATGAGGATATGAAGAATCAGCTGATTGCCAATCATGGATCTATTGCGAAAA